ATAACACCTGATGACGGCTATATATAGCCGAAACATGTCGTAAATGTTCCACATGTAAATCGAGTACTCGATAAGGAACGTAAAATGATATTTTAATCTTTTAATTATCTTATATTGTGATTGACGGCCTATTTTAATATATTTTTAATACTATTTAAATAAATCACAATATGACGCATCTACAATATCTTAATATCTAGTAAAGAACACGCCTAGAGAGTATGATGTATCTTTCATGACGGAAGAAATATTTTCAGAAAAATCGACCGACTTTACATGACGCTGAAAGTTTTTTTTTAATCTGAATATAAATTTTGTAATAGACTGTACAGTACAAGCTTTAAATGGAGTGGAGACTCATCACAACTGCGGGAAACCCATGGACTGCATAACCATTCATCTGAGCATGCGCATGACCTCACGTTTTTAGGTCAGCAAGTCGATCTCTGACCTTGTTTCGGTGTTGAGATCTCACTCTGGGTTCACACCGGCATTACGTCTGTGTGTTGAGGGTCACGGATACTTGTCGATTGCAATTGTACGGCAATTAATGCCAATGGGTTACTGTTCCTACACTACAAAATCGAATAATAATTAGATGTCATCAGATTTTATGATCACAGGACGACGAGATTAAAAACGGCAGTCTAAGTGATGTCCCACCGTGTAGTGTGATAGAAACCAGCCAGCTTTTCAGAGGATCTTTCTGATTCCATTGTCAGTGTGTTGCTTTCTTATTCCCCCAAAATATACATCACATTTTCATAAATTTTATGACATCTTTATATTATAGGCATATTCTAAACTATTATAAATTAGCAAATGAGTGATAATTGAACCAAATGGTAAATAACAAAAATATGAACAAGTCTGAAGACGAAGTGTGAGAACAGTCAAGTTATGAACTCACCACGTCAATGAGCTGTGATAGACGAAGCCCCATTTTGACGGTGAGGCGGTCAGAGTTGTTGCCCACGGGTCGGATGAGCCGATTGTAGTTGCTCAGCAGGTCGTCGTATAGCCGTTTCGCTTCAAGGTTGGCCACGGTTCCCCCGATCACCGACAGAAGGAGCGCCAGCAACACGCTCTCCATCTTAGGCCTGGTCCACCCCTGAAACGGAACGAGAGAACGAAACGTAAGTCGGCTAAACCTGGGCCTAAGCATCTCTTCAGCTTCCTACGAGACATCTTACACACCCTTAACGATGGAGCAGGCGAAGAAAACAAAAGACTGAAGATGGCTGTCTTCTGGATTGTTGCGCCGTGTAGTCTGGTAGAAGTGTACAGACCTTTCAGCGGTACTTGCTGTATCCATCATCAGGGCGATCTCGCCATCTTCAGAAAACCTCAAATCTCACAAAATAAAAGACTACTTAGAAGTAATTAGACTTGTTGTAATTACTTATAACTGTAGATGGGTGTACGAATGGACATAGTCAATACATCACATTTCAGGAACATGATCTGTTTGCCAGGTTACATTCTATCTCACTGGTCTAAAATTACCCTAATTATCAGATCCAATACGTCGATATTAACCTTAAAGTTGACTGCACATTACTGATATACTTTCCAGGTAAATTGGTAGTAATGGAAGTTCAAATGACAGACAACATATGGGTTGATATTTTGAAAACGGATCTTGGTTAAATTATGAGTTACGGTGTAGTTAATTAATGTACATACGAACTTTGTAGTGACTGAAATATGACAAGAAATTTGTATTAAAAAAGGAAATAAATTCAGAAAATAAATAAGCCCGCATCTCTTTAACTGCAATTCAGGTGCACAGGCACCGACGTCTTAGATCAGGATTCATTCGTCTTTACCAGTCGGACAGAAGTCAGATATGACACAAAACATTCACCCGGACGTCAGAAAAACAAAATACTTGCCTTCAAATACTTCCTTTGGTAAGAATATCACGGGTATTATAAATTAAATCTTGGAAGAATTGAAGGCTTATAATATCCAAAAGAGGAATGCGAAGATGCAAAGTAAGGTTTGTACTACAACGATGAAATTCGCCCAATAACCTTTGTTGCAGAACTCAGTATCAAATATACATTAAAACAAATTCATTACTTTTGAGCGGAAACGTGTCAGAGGACAGATAACCCTAGACCACCCGATATCCTATCACTTTACGCACTCCATAAGTGTGTGGCAAGCCAAACAACAATGAATGTTTACATTTCAAGAATTCTTACTGTCTTAATGCCAAAGATAATACCCAGTCAAAACGACGCCGACAGTCGAGACGCCTATCGTCGGAAAACCGACTGCAGGTTCCACAAAAATGCAAATAAAATAAGGGACGCCATATGAGACGATGCTGTAAAACCAGAAACGACACAAGACAAGACGCTGTCAAGCCGACGCCGGCTTCGCGATGCCAAACGTCGCTACACCACTTCAACGATCGAAATAAAGCCGCGAGGAGCCTTAGGATTCCATACGACATAATGCTGGCAAACCGACACCGAGCGTCACGACGCAGAAAGAATGTTACACACCAAGCACAGATGACCCTTGGGAAGCCACACGATATGAACCGACAACGAGCGTCGCGACGCCCGCTGAAAACTACAAATTAAAAACAATTATCAACGCAACATTCCACCACGCTGGCAAACCAGCGTTTGGACACCTTTTACAAAATAAGAGAGACAAACAACTGGAAACAGCGCCAATGAAATTTTAAGACTACTCCCAGGAATTACAGATTACACCAATAAAGGAAAACAAATGAAAGCGGAAGACTGCAAGTTCAAAATACAGCGAAAAACGTGTTGTAATCTACAATATTGGAGCGACCATTTCTTGGATAAGAGTTCATGAAACAGGCTTTATAAGCTTGAAATCCAAGTAATTCAAGTTAAATATTAAGAAGACGCTGATGGCTGTACAAGCCAACGCATGCTGGAGGTATGTCACGACACTCGGTGTTACCAAAGCCGCAGGATGAACCACCCCTACGGCAAGACTAAGAGAGTCTACGAAAAATGTCAGTCGCATTCAGCGATAAGATCATTGCGCACGAGGATCATGAGTGAAGATAAACGCGGCAGTGGTTTATAAGCTGATTTAGTGCTATTTAGTGTTGCTTTTATAGCGGTGATTGATTGTTGTTGGTATTGTGGCCGTGTCAGGGGAAGAAACTCTTCCGACTATCAATCATTAGCTCTCGTTCTTCCAATCCAGACATCCGTGATCACAGCGTCTCTGCTGCGGACACAGTCCCCTGTATCTAACAAAACTGGTCATGCTATTAATCTCTTTTACGAGCAGTTTAGACAGTTTATTGATGTTAATTCGACTCGCCCTGAACACATATTCTCATTGGACATTTTTGTATTTACTGGCTATTTCTATCTTTCAATGCCGCTATAATTTTCCTCTGCGGCACCTCCAAATAAGATTTGATCTCTGATCGTCAGAACTTAATTTCCGCATGGGGATTTGATTCCCAGTAAAGCAGTATTTTTCTCTTTGCCACTGCATGCAGGCCGGTTCTGGGGCCCAATCAGAATGCTGTCAAATATGTTGCGGGGTTCTTTTTTCAGGGGGTAAAGCGGCCGGGGTGTAAAACACTGCACCTTAATCTAGTAAAGTGGTTAAAAAATCCCGGAAATAAACTTCTCTTTCCAGAACGCAATCATGGAGTGGGACTTATTTAAGTATCAGGCGCAATTTTAATTTTAACACAACGACTTACACAGCGCACATAAAATTATTTGAGGAGTTAATAGGTACCCAGTATTAAAGAATCCGATTAGTCTATAATAACTTTCAAAAGTCCCGCCAGAGACCCCTACGACGAGCTATTTCACAACCCAACAAGCTGTTAACAGTAAGCAATTTCATTACCACCCTTCCATCTAAATTTCGATCCCGTAAATGGGCACGGTATTTAAGGATTTTCCTATACGAATGGAGTACGAGTTTTTCTTCACAGCCGTTGCTACATATGACGCTCATCAGTTTATCTTCTATTTTACACCCGAAACAGAAAGAGCAGAACAAATAGCCTCGATTGAACACAAGAACGTTGACATCCATATTTTATACACATTTATGTTACTATTTATAAATGCCCGCCGTTTTAATTAATTAATATAAAACCGCATTTATAATTAGACAAAATGTCGAAAGAAGCTGTCTCGTCAGAGACAAACGTGTTATGGTTTTTTGCCATCCAGAACAATATTCGGTCTGATTATTTGACAGAAATGAAGATTAATGGCCACCACCAGCAAACAGCTTCTCCAAAGGGATCTGCCACAAAACACATGTCTCATTTTTATGTCTGATATATGTTGAAATTTCGTTACAAATGTTTTCCTATTTTCCTGTAATTTTTTACGTTATCATATATCTGTTTGCCGTCGTAGGCTTACAATTTTTTTGTAGACAAACAGCAGATCTTTTGAATCCTGTTTCTGGCTTCAACACCAATAAATTTTTCTGTCAACTTCTGTACGTAAACAAACATGGCTAGAATAGTTCAAATTCAAAGGCATGCTATCACGGTCATGTTCACACTATTATTATTATGCTCTATCATTATTTTTCGTAAACAATTACACAAGTAACTACAGTAAGTCCCACTAAGTAACTAACAAACTATAAATAAGTCAGTCTTTGAGTTAATAAAGACACCCGACATTCTAAGAAATTGAGTGTTCATTGCCGTCTTAAACTCAGACGCCAATGAACAAAATTCTCGGCCAGACTAATCTAGTATGCATCTTCACATTTAAATTCATGAAGATGCATTTTAACATTATCCTCAAATTTACGCCTACGTGTTATACATTGTCATTCTCTGCCACACACACAGGTTAAGGAAACTACATTTATTTTCTAAATCTTATTTTAACTAAGGTGTTAAAGAAATTGTGATGAGCACGAATCTTGAATCAGTGTCATTTTACATTCGACGTGAGTCACCGATGTAAATTCACATTATCTACCAAAACTCTCTCTACCAGATATTTTATCTTCAACAACGCCCTTATTTATCCAAAAACAGTATCTTGAAGGAAGAAAAAAAAACATTTTTTTCAATTTATAGTTTTGTATTTCACATTTATTATTTATTAAATTCAAAATGAAGAAGAAACACAGAAATAGTCTCTCCTAAAATATGAACTTACTAGAGTGTTAAAATGCTAATGTTGGTTTTCTGCACAGAAACGCCATTCAGACTTCTAAGTACATACATGGAAATCTCTCCAGGATTTGAAAGAATATTACTTCTCTGCGACTTACCATTACTTCTTGGTATTTACCAGTGACATTTAACGTGTGTGCGAATATGCAGGCTTCAGTTCCACAAAGGTACACGGAAATATCTCACGAATTGTAAAATGTTATATATCAGAGTATAATCGTGGTTGGTAGTAGCTTTCATGTAAGTTCCTCTGTCGTTTGCGATGATCAGACCTCATGGAAAGCCTTCTTTCAACCCTTCACGTCAAATCTGTCGCTGCCAGCTTCAGAGCTCTATTAAATGGCTGTCTTGAGAGTCCAGTATCTCATCTCATTAACGTTTGTCCTTCTTGAGAGGCAAACCATCATTTTCATGAGTCTTATCTGATTTACTATGTCCTAGCGGTGCTCCTAATCCTCTCTTATACTGGACGTTTCGGAAGTTAGATTCCCAGCCGCATGTCCATCGCAAACCGGTATTTTTCGTGGTGGGAAAACAGGCGAGTTCATGCTCACCGTTGCGAAATTCAACGTGATCATCTTCCTCAACTCGAGAACGGACACCCCAATTTTAATTAAAATTAAAAACCGTAGAGTTTTACGAGAAATAATCGATCCAAATCAAAGTTCGTTTAGATAAGACAGTTATAACGTCCATTTTACATAAAAGCATAACAACTTTTTTTCAGTTTGCTAAATACTAGCAGAAAGCTAATTTAATTGATTTTTTTTAGCTTACGTCGACAAACATTCACTCTTTTAAAAGTAATCACTATGGTCAATGACGACGTCGTGCCAGTTCAAACCAATCTCCACCCCCTTTTCGGAGACGCCTTACTTTTCCCACCATTAGTATTTCGGTGTAATCGTTTGAAGCTTCTGACCTGAACTAGATTT